TGTGTGTGTGTGTGGCGGGGGAAGGGGGAAAGCATCATGGTGTAGGAACCTGCCCCTTTCTGCCCGTCGGAAAGCGGGCGGGGAGCGACGCAGGCCGCTCGGATCAGTGCTGGTAACATAAGGGCAAAAGCCTCTGCTCCTAGACGATGGTCAGTAGTGTTTTCACAAAGCCATGGAACTTTTTCTTTGTAGTGTTGAGTGATACTGTGATTAAAATGTTATTGAATGATTCCAAGATTATTTTTCTCTTTCTTCTGTCATTAATTCTTATTACCACTTTGGAAAAAGAATGAAAAAGAAAAAAAAGGCAGCTTTGATTTCCAAATGTGCAATTCACATGTGAACAAAGTAATTCTGAAAGTCATTCTCAATGTATTTTACATTCTCGTTGCTCTCTTCAAAGCGAGAGATGTTTTGCCCTGATGTCATTTCCAGCCTGCAGAAGATGTAATTTAAAACATATATATATTGTGCTTGCAAGAATCATAAATCTGTGCATCCTATGTCATTCCTTTGCCCATTGTTACAATACAGATATGATTTAGGGTTTTTTTTTCTTTAGAACTGTATAGTGTTTTTTTAAATCAATTGTAAATGTCTGGTTTTCATATAATGTTTAAAAAACATTGAGAAAGAGGATGGTGCTTGTTCCATATCATTCTTGATTGTATATTGCTTCTGTTATGTTTATAAGTAAACTGTGCATGACTTGTGTTTAGCAGTCATTATTGTGTCTGTTTGTGAAATTTTTATTAAAAAGAAAAAAATTCCGTAGATGCACTTATTGTATATGTGATTAGATTTTGCGTCCGAGGCTAGAAGCCTTGAACTGCCAAGGAATAAAAAAAAAAAGTGTTGGCAGTTATTAATTAATATGAAATCGCTTTGTTGGGAGCATAATGAAATAAAAGATATGAAGTGTAGAAAATAATTAAAAAAGCGATTTTACAAATTTCATTTTGATGCTTGTGATAAAAGGCAAATGTACTTGTGTAGAGAAATTCCTTTAAAATAATGAATAGAAAAAGCTGATTTTGAGGTTAATGCTGTAGAATAGGAATGTATACCAAATGTAATCTTTCCAATGCTACAATGAATTTATACATGAGATTGATATGCAATAAACCTGTGTGCTTTTATAAGCAATGGTCCCGTGAGCTTTTTTTCTTGGAAGAACGGTAGAGACACGACGACAAACGCGCAGAATGGGGCGTTGGGGTGGGTTGCTCTCTTACTTTGCGGAAAGGTCAGTTGGAAGGGCGTAGCACGGACGAGCGAGCCCAGGAATTGAGGGGGAGGCAATCGAAATAGGAACTTGGACGGGAGCGGTTTGAGGGTGTTTGACAGGAGGAAACAGTCTGATGAAGAACTGGATTTCAGGATTTTTAGCAAAAATAGCAGCTTTTATTCCTCCGGCTCCCACGCGGCTCGTTGCGGCACAGAAGGAAGCGCGTCCTCCCGGGGAGCCGGGACGGCTCTGCAGCCCTTCCCGCCCTCTCCGCTGCCCAGCCTCCTCTGATTTTCTCTGCTGCGGGGCCGATTCCCAGGGCCGGCGTGGGGCTGCGCGAGCAGCGTCCACGTCCTCGCCGGGGGCTGCGGGGGCCGACCGCGGGCGCAGGAGGGTACCCAGAGCTGGCAGAACCCTTCCTGGCTGAATAACGGGGCATAACGCTAACGAGCGCTCCCCGCCCCTGCAGTAACCGTTGTCTGATGTATTACGTGCTTGGCTTGTAATACCGCAGAAGAGCTTCAGAAAATTAAATGATGGACGTCCCTCCTTGCCGCCGAGGTCCCGAAGGACCGGTGGTGCCGCCGAGCCGTGCCTGCGTCCCGCGGAAGGGATGCGTCGTCCTCGCTGGGAAGTTTGCACGGGGAAGAGTGAGAACGCTCTGGGGCGGGGGAACGGGTTAGGACAGAGAATTAGTGAGCTATCTAAAACCGTCAGGAATATTTCCTTTCACAGCTACGAGCCGAGAGTTAGCGAACTATCTAGTGATAGCGGTCAGATGTTTCAGCGGGGGCCCTGGGAGCAAAAATGACTTGAAAGCAGGGTCTTTGAACTAACAACATGCATTACAAAAGTGATGAATGGTCTCCGCTTCAAAAAGTCATTCATCGTGATCAAATGATGGTATCCTACATACAGCATAATAGCCCTTCCCTGGAGTTTGCCATGTAAGGGTTTCAGTCTTAGCTGAACTCTCGAGCAGAAACCCTCTGCCTCTCCGTGACGGCTGGCAACCTTTCTCCTTATTAGCCCTGGAGGGAAAGGGAAAAAATCTATCGGGTAAGAAAGCTCTGATAATAGAGCGATTGTCAGGCAGGCCTTAGAGAGAAGAGAACAGTCTTTGAAAAGAATATTGCTGACAAGTGGACTTTGTCATCCAGAAAGCACTTGAGATTCACCGGGCGGGAATCAGAGTGGGGGACAAAAGAGAAGGTCAAGGAAAAATCTGTTCCCAGTAAATACAGAGCACTCTTGGGCCTGGCCTCACTGGGCAGCCACGTTCCTGGGCAGCTGTCAGCAGCCCGACCCTTGGATCCTCTTTCCCCCCGTAGCTGCGCGTCCTGACAGAGGCCGTGCGGTGCCAAAGCATCCGAACCGGGTGGTTTATGCCCCTGGAGGGACGGCCCGCGATCGCGTTTAACCGGAAAAAGATGTAAGCTGCCACGGCAAGCCTTACACATGCCTGTGGTAAGAATCAGTCCCTGGCCTGCTTGGAGTGACTGCGTGCCTGTTGCTGGTCAGGCCCTGAGGACAGTCAGAGGTGCGGTAGTTTGTCACCCGTTAACACGATGGGAGGGCGATGCCAAAGAATCCCGTACCCTTCAGTGACCTTGGTGAAGAGGCTTTCGGGAATGGGCGACCCTGAGAGAGTCCGGGGGCCAGGAGAGAAGGGCTGGGCAGGCACCTTCTGCAGGGAACGCCAAGAAGCGGCGAGAAGTCCTCTTTAGTTACGTCTGGTCAGCTCTGCGCTCCTGTTAAGTCCTGGCCCCCGGGACGGCGCCCAGGAGGTGAGCGTTGCCCTCCTCCACGCCGAGATGCCTGG